GCTCTCTCTCTCTCTTTCTCCCCCCCTCTCTCTCTCTATTTTAGAGCACATTTAACAGAAGATGATCTAATAAATGTTCCCTCTGTAGAAGAAATAAGAGATGTAAGCAAGAATACAATTCATTATTCATCATATTCACGTGTACATGTGTAGGTCATCAAGATGACTTCCAAGAGAGTCATAAGAGACAATTCAAGCTCACGAGCAAAAGACATGTAATGATATGCATCAATTAGTTATTTTACACATGTACATGTACATATATGCTTTTTGCTTATTGTTGTTTATTTTTACACGAATAAGTTTATTTTTAACACCTTTAGTCTCACTCTCAAATTACATGTACGTGTTCTCTCTCTCTCTTCCTCTCTCTCTCTTCCTCTCTGTCTCTCTCTCTCTGTCTCTCTCTCTCTCTCTCTCCTTTAGTTGCAGGCAGCATAATGAACAGTTGACTGTATATTGCAACACGTGTGATATATGCATCTGTGCTAGCTGTGCTTTGTGGGGAAAGGTTAGTTTGTAAATGAAAATAATTATAGTTTAAGCAAAAATGAAAGCCAGTTGATAGTGGACATAAAATTGGTATATTTGACTTAACTTTTGGCCTTTAAAGCCTATAGTGAGGTTAGTAATGCTCAAGGCCAGAATTGCATGATGAAAATAAAATATTGACCAGTTTTATGTCTGCTTCCAATTATAACTTTTATTCTTGCTTAAAAATAAACTGTTAGTTATACATGTACATACATGTGATGAATGAAAATGAAATTTTTATTGCTGGGTGGCATTAGAGGGAATATCCCAAATTTAATGTCTGGGGGAGGCAAATATTTTAGGGGGCATAGTCCACTGCCCCCCTCAAGCCAGGTGGCCCCCTTCTATTGCTATGCCTGAAATGTTGTACTAATAATAATAGTAATAATGATGATTTAATTATTTTCACGCAGGCATGGAAATTGGTATTCATAAATAACGCAAATTCAGCTCTTAATTGTAGCAATTAGTCATTTGATTATTAAATTAATCCATCGCTCATTTGGCAGCGAAATCACGCGTGATACTATTTATAACTTTATTCCGTGTTACTATTTTTAGCACAGACAAGAAGACCATGATATTAAGCCACTTGATGAGCTTCACAAGAAACACAAAGACGTCTTTACGACTGAAGTATGGAGGGCACCCTACAGCTGGAAATATTTGCAGGGAATTAAATTGTGCAAGCTTGCAGATAAATAAAAAATGCAAAATTTACAAACATGATTTAATTCATGTGTGACCTTGCTACAGTAACAATCAAAACCGCAAACCAAGATATTTATAAGGATTTGCGAATTTTTTCTCTGCAAAATTAACCGGCTGTATGGTACAATATTTAGAATATTGTCACAGGATGATCTTCTTATTTTTATTTTTTATTTTCTCTCTCAAAATTTTTTAAATTTAAAAAAATTAAAAAAAAATTATTTTTATATTTTGCAGCTCAAAAAGCTTAAGACCAGAATGAGTGAGATCATTAGTCTAGTTGAGCAAGTTGATTTGAAGATTGAGAAGGTGAAAACTGAGAAAGGGAAAACGAAACAAGAGATTGAAACAACTCTTGGTGCCATTGACGTGAGACTGGACGAACAAATGAAGCTAAAGCTACAAAAACTAATAGGTCAGTATAACTCAGTATACTATGCTAGGATATGTCAGTAAAACTAGTGATATGTACATGTACTATTATATTGTGAGAGAATTTTTTGATCTAAAATTTTCATAAATTTTGTGATTTAAAAGAAAATTAAAAAAAATCAAGTCCACTTAAATCAAGTGTGATCATACAAAAGTATATTATTACACACGTAGAACTAATTCCAAAGATTTAAATATGTGAAACTGATTGATTTTTGGATGGATTTGTGAAAATTTTGGGCAATGAAAATATCTTGCTATACAATATAATTTGTGACTATTGACAAAGGTACCTCATGGCAGGACCAGGTAATTAAATTTGTCTTTGAAGCGGGAAAAATCCAACTTCCTGTGCTTCATTGATAAAGGAATTTTTACACAGGATGCAAAAAGTTGCTATGTAGCTTTATCAAACAATGCTTTTCTGAGAAATTATACACAAGTTGATACTTTTGATGCATTTAATAATCTGCCCAATGCTACCTTAATTTTGTCAGTTATATATAGTCACGTTTATTCTTTTTATGACATTTGTATAATTATTTTTCTTTTTCTTTGTTGCTCAGAGGCAAAGCGTCGCTTAAAACAAGAAGTTCATGACATCAGCAGTTTATCAGCCGAACTGGAGACAAGACTAAAAGGCTCAAAATCTGAGTTCATTCAACAGGAGAAAGTCCTAAGGGAGAGAATGATGGCAAAGATACAAAAAGTAATTTAAATATCCGGAAAGTTTTGTGGCGAAAAACTTTTGTGGTTTTTGTAGTTACCGTGAAATTAAGAGCCATCAATTATTAGGAAGTTAACTAATGAGAGGCGTGACCGCTTTACTGATGATGATATAAAATAAAAAATAAAAATAAATAAAATAAAAAAATACAAATTAAAAATTAAAAATTAAAAATTATTGTATATAAAAAAAAATTTTTTGCCACTAATTTTTTGGGCTACATTGTACCGTATTTGCTTTGAAAAAGGATATACTGTAGAAAATGCACATGTACTAGTGTTCATGGGGTAGGGAATAAAGGTTTGAGTGTGTCATCTTTTTTTGTTTAGCTTCAAGAAAGTCAGTGCAACGATTTGGAGAGAGTTTTAGAAATCGGAAACTTTGTAAAGTACGTATACATGTACGCGTACGCTACGACCGTTTTTATTTTATTTTATATTTTAGTGAAGTAGTTCCTCAAGGAGAAGAATCAACTTTTGAGATTAAGAACTTCAAGTAATTTACATTTATACATGTACATGTACTGCATGTATTCAGGGTTTCCCACAAAGCATGCTAAGGGAGCTAAACAGCATGAGTTTCATGAGCTGACAAGCACTACAATACAGTACATGGCATTTGGAGCAACTTTAAAAAATCATAAAAAATCCAAATTTGATCGGAATCAGCTCAAAGTTGATACATAGCATAAGGACATGTGTAGGTATCAGAAAAAAATTTTTAAATGGAGAATTCTCTCCTTTTCATTTTTGGCAAAATTTGGCGTCAGACCATGTACTGTAGTACAGGGACTTTGACCTGATTTTTGAGCAACTTTAAAAATTCATAAAAAATCCAAATTTGATTGGAATCAGCTCAAAGTTGATGCACAACACAAGAACATGTATGTGTATCAGAAAAAATTATAAAAATGGAAAATTCTTTCCTAGCCATTTTTGACAAAATTTAGCCAAAATCCCTGTACTACAGAGACTTTGACCAGATTTTTGAGCAACTTTAAAAACTCATAAAAATTAATTTAAAAAAATTTTAAGTTTTTAAAAACTTAATTTTTATTTAATTTTTGAATTAAAAAATAAATAAAAAATTTTTGATCAACTTGACAATCTACTAACAAGAAGCTGCATGAGCACTATGCCAAAATCCTGTGGGAAACCATGCATGTATACATGTACATGTACATGTATACATGTATATGTATGTTTTTTATGCATTTTACGTGCTTAATATTATCACTTATTTGGTGTAGGGAGAAGCAGCGGAGTGGAGCTGAGATCTTTAGTCCTTTGCTCTCATTCTCTGGATTGGCATGGAGACTGAAAGTCTATCCAGTAAGAATTAATGTATTTTAATAATTTTTGTTTATTATTATTATCGTTATTATAATAATAACAATAAATATAATTATAACAAAAAATAATAATAATAATAAACAATAAGTCAAACCAAAAATGAAGACAAAGAGCCTTAATGCATTATTATTATTATTATTATTATTATTTATTATTATTATTATTATTATTATTATTATTGTCATTATTGTCATTATTATTTTCTTACAGAATGGTCACGGAGCTTTTACCGGTCGCTACTTGTGTACTTTTATAGAACTTTATGGAGGCTACAGTCAACCAGCCACGTTAGTACATTATACAATAACTCCACTGCATATGAACACAGAGTTTCTTAGGGCTGTAAATTTTGTGAATTTGCCTAAAAGTCTATTTTTGTTAAAGAAATTTTTGCCAATCATTAAAAAATTGCAAAATCTGTGAAATTTACAGCCCTTAAATTTTGAGCTATACTAACTACAAGTAGCTCTTTTTTTAATATACCCTCTCTTTTTCCTCTCTCTCTTACCCTCTTCTGCACTGTATTTATTTCTTTTATTTATTTATTTATTTATTTTTGTTTTATTTCTTCTCTAGTTATCATTACTCAGTTGAGCTCGTTAGAATGAGTGGGCGTGGTGGCAACAAAAACTTCAAGCGTGAATACAGTAAGTTTTCTGAATGAAGTGGGTGGGGCTCATTAATTATTCACGAGCTTATGATTAATTTATTTGCAGGCTCTGATTTCGTTGTCGGCGACTTGTGGGGCTACAAGAAGTTTTATGATCTCTCGAAACTAGTGAGATATTTATGATCAAAAAATAATAATAAAATATTTAGATTTAAAAAATAAAAAAATTAATAATTTTTTTCTCTGTTCTATAGGAGAGTGAAGGTTATCTGGTTCATGACACTCTTGTGTTAAAGTTTAGCATAAACCATCCAACCTATTTCGACAAATGCAGAGATTTAATGCTGTAAGGATGAATGCTACATGATAATAATAATAATAATAATAATAATAATAATAATATCTCTGTTTAATAAGCCTTCTTCTTTAAATCTCTTTACTTTCCCTCTTCCACCTTGTACTGTATGTGTACAGACAGGGTTTCCCACAAAGCATGCTAAGTGAGCTAAACAGCATGAGCTTCATGAGCTGACCATCATGTGGCTTTTTGAGAAACTTTAAAATTCATGTTTTGTACCAATTCAACTCGAAATTTCTACACAGCATAAGAACTTGTACACGTATACATGTACCAAAACATGCAATAAAAGTAGAGAATTCTCTCCTAGTGATTTTTGATAAAATACTTAGTGCTATATCATAGCACAGGGTATTTCATCAAAAATTGGCAGGTTTTTTTGCCAAATTTTTGAGCAACTTAAAAAATTTTCTGAGCACATCAAAATTTTTTGGGAAGCTCTGTTTCCATCTCTCCTTTTTTATCCTTAAACATTTCATCTCTCTCTCTCTCTCAGTCATGTTAATGATTTAAAGCACAAGATAATGTCACTAAAGCACCAAAACAACCAGTTACGCCAGGTCAGCAATATACTAACAATATACCAACAATTTACTGATAATTTCCTGATACGATATACTAGAAATGCCAAGGGATCAAAGACGTTGATGATGATGACCCTCCTCCCAAACCTCAAGCATCAACAAGTAAATCTTCCACCCACTCACTTTAATTACATGTACATGTACCAAATGTTTTTAGGATACTGCGCATGTACATGTACATGTATTGGGATGTGGTTTGAGCTGCTAATTCTTTTAGCATTTTCTAAGTTATTAATATTTAATGATGTAATCATACACTGCTTTTACATGCATATTTAGTACTAAGCTTCCTCACTAAATTTACTAGAATTATTACAAAAATACAAATAAGATAAAAATTAAATATCACATACATGTACATGTACATGTACTACATGTACATGTATGTGTTATATTTAATTTTTATCTTATTTGTATTTTTTTATTATTTACTTGTTGTATTTTTAGGTTCGAGTCTCTCCAATTCCTCTCCTGCTCACTCCTCTATCAAGAGCGGTACTGGAGGAGGTACTCAGACCTCACCCGCCCACTCATCATCAGTCGGAATGGGAGGGGTCACTCAAACATCCCCCGCCCACTCATCTCACGACAGGAGTTCATCAGGGAGCATGGCCGGTCCTCATTTCTCACAACCTGTAAGAAAATAATACATGTACATGTACATGTAAGTGTCTGATTAAAATTTTGCTCAAATTTTATGATAATTATAATATACATGTACCGTATAGCGCAAAATTTTTGAGGGCTGTAAATTTCGCGAATTTACCTAAAAATCTATTTTGCAGATTCAATTTTCGCAAATTTATATCATCTGCCATTTGTACCATAATTTGATTTTCATGGAAGTAATTTTTGCAAATCTTTAAAAAATCGTGAAATCCGTGAAATTTACAGCCCTTAAAAATTTTGCATTATACGATATTCATGGGGTTTTCCACAAAGCATGCTAAGTGAGCTAAACAGGATGGTTCAACATTCTCTCACTTCTTTCTTTCCTTCTCTTAATTCTTAGATACATCATTTCAAAGAGAGCTCCAGACAGTCTTACCATCCCATGACTCCACACGCGACACTCATCACACCTCTAGCCTCATCAAGTGGCTCTACCTCAACCCAATGGACCAACCCTCCCCCTCCTCCAAACCACTATAACTCATTCACTCAACAGCAGTTCATGTATCCTCCTACTCAGGAGGGGCGTGGCTTCAATCCTCATGCCACGCCCCATCACAATTCATCAAGACGTCAGTCGTTGGATCCTAAAATGCTCCGACTGATAGAGCAACAGAAATGGAACACTTTCGCCCAGTCCCAGATGGATTACCCCACTAATAGTTTTTTGGGTCACCACGGCTTTAAGGAGACTCCTATTCCGGAGGCTGGAGGGTACATGAGGCCCATGGGCGGGTCTAAAACTCAGCTTCACTCCGGGTCTATGCCTAGGCTCAATTTTCAAGACCTCTCCCAGGGGTCCAGAGAAGGGGAAGAGGAAGGAGAGACGGGTCGACTTGGTATCGGTGATTATAACGCTGATCTTGATCCTCATTCCATGCCTGGCGTCCTTGGAGGAGGTGGGGGTGGGTCGCAGATGGGGTCTATGATGCATCCCGGCCTCGCAAGTCAGGAGTATTTTGACCACGCCCCCCACATGCCATTCCTACCTGACATGTATCAAATGTCACAGCCCGATCTACTCCTGTATCATCAGCGCTGTGCTTACCCACCCTCCTCCTCTAGGGGCGTGGTCAAGCAACAAGCGACACCCAATCAAATGTCAAAGATGGAAAAGCACATGTCTTTGACTGATGTCTCGTCCCTCGTAGACTCCTCCCCGGCTCATTCACGATCCATAGCAACACTTCACGAGGGGGCGGAGTCTTCTTGGGGTGCTGGTCTCCGCCCTATGAAGCCGTATCAGCGCTCCCAAACAACCCTCCCTGTTACCGACCTCCCTCCTAATCAACACGGCCCTCCTGGACTCGCCTCAACCTTAGCTGCTAGACTCGCCTCTCCCATTAACCAATCTCCGTCGCCTTCTCGTCCGACCAGTGCGAGGAGGATTTCGCAGCATAGCCGACAGCCAAGACACCCCCGACCGTTGAGTGGGGTAGGTCCTGTCCAAGTGGTTCAGCCTGAGGGAGGTAGAGAGAGGAGGGGGCAGCAGCAACGTAAGGAAATGGAGCATCAGTTGAGGGGAAGAGAGGAGGAGGGGAGAAGGGAGATGGACAGGGAGAGAAAGACTGATGGAGTCTCATCATCGCCTCCTCTGGCATCTGTATCACTTTCTCAGAGTTCACCGGAATCAGTAACGTCACAGTTAACACAATCTGATTCAAGCCATCAGCACCAGCCTACCTCTAAATTACGCTCTTCTAGAAGGTGAGAGAAAGAGAGGGAGAGAGAGAGAGAGGGAGGGAGAGAGAGAGAGAGAGAGAAGTGCATATAATTGTACAAGTCAGAGAGACACTCCAGATTACATGTACTTTATTTACAATAATCAATTAATTATCATCACCATTATTATTATTATTGTTATTATTATTATTGTTATTATTATTATTATTATTATTATTAACTTAGGTACACGCAGAAGATAAAAACCAACAATGGTGCCAGTACCAGTGACACTCCCACACTCTCCCTCACCCTCACCGACCAACCGCCATCAACTAAAGAGACAGGGGGACAGCAGAGACAGGAGCAAGAGAGTACCTCAACTGGTGGATTCAGTCGTATCAGCGTGGGACAGAGAACAAGCAGTAATACCAGTCTTGCTGCCGAAATAATTTAACATAAATCAAACTCTCTCCCTCAACAATTATCAGCTTATTTTTATTATTTTTTTACGACTGTAACTGTTAAATAAATGTACAATACTAACTATATAAAAACTGATCAATGGACTACAATCAAGAGGAATGACATTATAACGAACGGGTTTTCTTAATTTTTAACTTAATCAAATAAAAATATTATGTGCAGTCCAATTTTGAGTTTTATTATTATTTCTCTTATTTTTGCTTGCATGTTGTTGTCTGTCCCTCTTTGACTATCGATCATTTTTAACCCCTGTTTGTTTTCATGTCATTAAATTTGTATTATCATCATTATTTCTAATACTCTATTTTATCTTCATAATTATGACTATAATGAAATTAATTAAGCTTAATGAGGGGCGGGTTGTCACGCCCACTTTTATTATTACAGATGTGTGCATGGAACATTGTAAAAGAAATCACTCAAGAGAGAGATAGGAAGGAAGTCCTAAATAAAGCCTAAAGCAAGAGGAAACACGCTTGTCTCATTCCACGGGCGTTTATCCTTCCGTATCAAAGAGAAAGACGACTCCATCAGCCTCGTTCAGCCTTTTATTTTATGGTCATTGAACAAGTCTTGGGACAAGGTATGTTTTGTTGATAGCTTGTAGAGAGAAAGGAAGGAATGGAGAAATTAGTAACACTGACGTTACTTGTACAATATTCGTTATTTTGCGTGCATGCATGTACGAACATGTACACGTACATAGTGGCCAACTATTATTTTTACAATTCTAAAATCTCGGGGCTAAAATCCCATTACTGTATTCAGCCTGGCCTCTTTCTCGACCCACCATTTGTTGATTGTTTTGGGTCATAGTAGTGGCGTTTATTGAAAGACTGAGGGTGGGAAAGTTTTAAAACATCCTGTTTTGAAGGCCACTTCACCGTAATAGTAAAAAAAGGCAATGGCTATAGCTAAGAGAATCTTTTGACCTACTTGCTGTAATATTTTCACTAATTTTCACTTCTGAGGGCATTCACTATAAGACTACGGTTTACACAGCAGCGAAAACGATGCAATCCGGTATAGTTTTGTGCCTGTTTTATGCTTCTGTTTACACAGTAACGAATGAAAACTTGATAAAATCTTGATCACTATGGAAACAGAAATGGTGTCAAAGGGTATCGGTTTTTAAAAACGATCTGTTTCTCGTTGCTTGTAAACCCAGCCTAAATATCATATGGGCTCTTCTTGATTGCTTGCTGTAGTACAGTAGGGGATTTTACAATGTATGTATACATGTATTTCGTGAGATAAGAAATTCACAAAAATTATATTAAGCATACATGTACAATTGGATCCACATGTCATAATTAATAATAATTACATTTCATCTTCTTGTTTTGTGAAATTAAGTTCCACATACAAACTATCATGTACATGTAAATTTTTCTAATACATAAATTAGATGTATTATGTACACATGTATGTCATCTTTTCGCTCATTTCTTCTTGTTTTGGTGTCATTGTGATTATTAATTTATTATTTGAAGTCATCGTTATCTCATCATGATCATGCTATGTAGTAAATTTCACTGGCCTCCCTCTCTCTCTCTCTCTCCCTCTCTCTCTCTCTCCCTCTCTCTTGGATAATTGAATTTTAAATCTGCTATTCACTAAATGTGAATATACATGTACATGTACCTGTACAAGTAGTTAGTTAGTAACGTGTTGTTTTTTAATGGAGTATCGGGATTCACTTTCACATGTACATGTACATGTACATGTACAGCACATACAGTATAGTGGGTAATTTTCGACTGGTGCTTATTTCTGTCTCTTTCGTTGCTATTAATTCTAATGAAAATTAATTCTGAAGATAGGCGTGACCATAATAAATTATTAATAACATGATAACAAGCATGGATGGCCTTGAAAACGGTGTTCACCTTCTAAAGAATCTCTTCCAGACCCTACAGGACCAGGGGACCTCCTTCTAATGCTGTCAGTCCTGCAGATACTAACGAAGACATAAGATCAATTATTTTTGTCTAGTCGAAAATAAAACCAACGAATTTTTATTCTAAAGTCATTTCTGGTTTTAGTCGAAATTTTTAACCACCGAAAATTACCCGCTATTCAGTAATTACAGCATATGTACATGTACATTATTATTATCATTATGACTCATGTATATAATATTATCATGGTTTAATTTATATACATGTATACATTTCCTTTTGTATGTATTTATCTGGTGTGTTGTTAATGACCTTTGGTTAGTGATTGCTTATATTCGTGATTTTTTCCCGTCGCTGTTAGAAATTGCCATAGCAACCAGATGCTATTTTAATTGAAAGTGGCGCAGTATTGAAGCACAGGACCAGGTTGCAGTGTTCTTCAGTTGTTATTCTTCTTGCTGTTACTAATCCTTGGACTCTTTGAAGTTCTTTTGGCCAGTTCTTTTCAGAAATACTCTACTCGCTCTGTCTTATACTTATCTTGGGACTCTCCACCCAATTCTTGTTAGTGTTTATTGACTTGGGTGTGGTTTATAATCATGGCCACGGACTGACCAGCATGAAGATCTTAGATCTATACAAGAATAGAGAACTGGAGTCTGGACGGCTCCACTAAAGCTGCTAAAGAATAGCTGATTAGCTGCTGAACATTGTAATTGTATAAACACGTGGTCAGTTGTCATAGCAGCGCTCAATAGGTTTCCATGGTATTTAATTGAAAATTTTTATTAGTTTTTATCACCTCTAATATTAGCAGCAGCTCGGTGAATATAAACAATATAAACGAACCTACGGTATTATTATTATTAATTTTACTATTGTTTTCAGGTCTCTTATCAAGGAGGGTATTAATATGCTCATCAAGGAGTATCATATTCCACTGCCTCTGACACTGGAGGAGTATAAGATAGCTCAGCTCTACATGATACAGGTAATGGGCATAAGTGTGACAATAACAAAAGAATTAATAACAATATTTTATAAAGTATATTGTAAAAGAGAGAGAGGGAGAGAGATAGAGAGACAGAGAGACAGACAGAGAGAGAAGAAGCAAATGACATAAATAAGGATTTACATATTAATACTAGTGATAAACCTGTTCATTTGTGTTATATTTTATTGGTACATATTATACATTAATTGTTTGTGTACATGTACATATATTATAATAAATAGCGTAACATCTAAATGTCCAATCAACTCTACAATATCTTATGCTTGTGTGTAAATTGTACTTGGAAGCTAGTGCAGATGTACATGTACATGTATGGTGACTAGTGTACATGTAATTCATTAGCTAATAAGTGCTCATTAAGTAATAAAGATGAAAGTCTTCATTCATGCGGTTTGGGGTACATGCTGTAATAATGTCTGCTTAATTTACTTGTACATGCACAAGTGTTTCAGTTACTATTGCTATTATTACTATTTGTTTTGTTTTATTTTTTATTTTATTTTTTATTTTTGATAGAAAAAGAGCCGTGAAGAGAGCGAAGGCACAGAGAGTGGTGTTGAAATTATTGAAAACAGACCTTACACTGATGGACCATTTGGTGAAGGGCAATACACTTACAAAGTAAAAGAACAACCTTTCACATGATCACAAAAATATGCAAAATTAAAATTCACCAATCACCAAAATTTAGCAATTCATCAAATTTTAGTCCCTCCAAAATTTCCCACTATACTGTACACAGGGTTCTGCCTAGAATAAAATTAGAGGTGGTTGGAGACTAATATTGTTCCTTTTAAATTGATGTACACCATACTAGTAGACTACAATATCATGCTTTATGTATGGTTATTAGTATTAATTGGATGGTTGGTCTAAGTGATGAACTGGTTGGTTCATTTGTTGAGGTGGTTGTCCCGACCACCCCCGACCACCATAAGCAGAACTATGGGTACATACATGTACATGTATGTATAGCGCTTTAGCTACATATAAATGTACTACTATATTTTCTCTCTCTCCTTCCTCCCCCTTCTCTCCTTGTATTAACTATTCATATCTCTCTACCACCCATCCTTCTCCTTATCTCCTGACAGGTCTATCACATAGGACGTCACATTCCAGGCTGGCTAAGAGGCATGGTACCAAAGACTGCCTTAGAGGTTCATGAGGAATCCTGGAACGCTTATCCTCGGACAAAAACAAAGTTCTCGGTCCCGTTTGTTGAGAAGTTTACGCTTGAAATTGATACTGTTTTTCAACAAGATGGTGGAACACAAGTGAGAAGGAGAGAGAGAGAGGGAGGGAGAGAGAGAGGGAGAGAGAGAGAGAGAGA